AATGTTGTATATTATAAATGTTTCTAAAATCTAGTACACAAGGTATTATATAAACAATTAGAATTCACAAAATTGTAGTAAAACTTAGATCTTTAAAAGTAATACAATTCCAAATGATAGTAAATAATTAATAAAATATGATACTAAATAATTTTAATAAATAACACATTTTACAAAAAAATAACAATAATTAAATAACACATTTCGGATTATAACAAATTTCACCTTTTTTTAATATCCCTTTGGTAAATCTATAATTTGTATTTATATATTACTGTTGATCACATGTTTTCTACATTTCTAAAATACATTTCAATTAAATTTGTACTTATTTACTCAATATTTCCTTCACTTTCCCAATAGTTCAATTTTAGTTGTGTAGGAACATTCGATTTCGTCTTAGCAGTATGAGTCTCGTAGCAGTATGATTTAAAAAACATGACATCTATAAAAATATGCAATTGATCTTTATAATGTAATATGTACGTAAAATAAATGTAGAATATTCTCCTATAAATCGATTTCCAGAGCAATATAAAATTCAAAATAAAATTATATCATTAGACTATCAGTGACATAAATTGACAAAACGTGATATCAACTGTATCTACCTTACTTTTTTCCTGTTTGTAGTGCGCTCGGAATATAATATAATTCGCGACATTTTTATTTAGATTTTGCCTGTTTAGTCATTCCATGAGTAGATCGCTAAATTTCGTTTTTAATTAGTAATAAAAAATAAATCGACAAAGTATGATTCAAGCAAGTAGTATGGGTTTGATGGTTCTTTTGAAATATAAGTATCGACGTATTTGTAAATTGGCGGGTTTTTATACAGGAAGCTATGACATAGCGCACGCAGCCGGATGTTGCGCGCGCATGCAGAATGAGCTAACAAAGGACACTTGACGCATTGTATTTTGACATATTACAAAATAGACAATCTATTTCCTGATCATTCATCAAGATTTTGTTTTTCATTGTGGCACGCCGGTTTATTGAGTGATTTTCACATAGGATTCGATGAAAAATTGGCTGACTAAATGATGGTACCAACGCGTAAGTTCGTACGGGGTGGGTGAGGGACGCCATGACAGTCGTGTCGTATTTTCTGTTAACAGCGAGGACGTAGACCCTTGTCAGTGTTTTCGTGAAATTGTTGCGCAGTTTGGCGTCTGTCTGGATCAAAATTGGCACTCCCGTTTCCTAAGTTTCGAGGACTCTGGTTTGAATATATTCTGGAGGTGGAGGGCGAGGGCGCGTGGCCATTATCAGGGATTTGCTTGTGGGTACCCGTGGCGAGGTGAGACGTCGAGAGGCGGCGAAAGGCGTCCCCCCCTGCATCGGGACGCGTGTCTCCCTGTGTACAAGACGGCCTAGGGCCGACGGAGCGAGATGCCAGAACCGCCGACGGCACCGTACACCACGTGAGTCCACTTTCTGAGCTCTCTCGATTATCGCTTCGACACTCTCGAATCCTACAAATCCCCTTGCCCCGAATCCCGAGGAACCTCCATTTTGTGGCCTCTTGTTCTCATTCTACGAGTCATGATAATTGACGCGTCATATGCCTAAGGGACACCAGAAGATGGTGTCCGTGAATCCTCTCTCAAGTGCGGGGGGATCTACGGCAAGTCCTAACAAATGTGGAAATACAGCTGCGTACTTGTACGAGCCACTGGTACGCTACATTTTTGTGTTTCACTCTTTATGTTTCTCGCTTTCAAAAGATCCTATAGGATGACTCATCTTTTCCCGCTCACTCGACAAAAAAAAAATTCTTAAATATTTTCGAGGTTAAAGTAACCATTTTTTTTCTGTCTACAACATGCTGATCATTTCTTTCCCGATATTAACCTATTATATGAACATTATGTAATAATAAGTTTACACCCAATGAATTCTGCAAAATTCATTATTCTTAAACAATTGATTCCCGTTTAACTCTAAACTGCATAATTTCGAGGTTAAATAGAAAGATTTATTTTACTAAGTAGCTTCAAACATATAAAGGGTAATAATTATTTTATAATTAAATGTATTTTCTGTCGCTTGATAAAAATATTGATCTTAATAGTGTTAAATATTTGATTAAAAATACAGTACTGTACCCATAATATATTCGATATTAATGTAATTTGTCTAGATGTAAGAACTGCTATTAGCTGTTAATACAGAACCTGAACTGTTTTACAGGATGAAAAATGAAGTATATCAGAAACATTTAGTTAATATACATCAGTGAATCAAGATGAACAGTGAGCAGCATGCATTGCCAGCGACTACGCAGGCACAACAAGAGGTAAGAATATTTTTAATTAAAACAGGCTATTTACCAAACTACAAATGCGCAACTGATACATGATGTTAACAACTAAAGTTCAAATAAATTGTAAAACATGATCAAATTATTATTGATTATAATATATTTTTGAATGTTCACACAATATTATGTTTTTTAGATTCAATATTTATGATACATGAAAGTATTCATGAAGTATACATAATTTATATTAACAACTTTTGTAAAGCTATGTTCTGTTCTTTTTGCTTGTTTTTCATGCATTATTGTAGTATGGTTACGTACTCACATTTAGCAATACAAAATAAAATTATCTGTAGCAAAACTCTGTGCACATATTATAGCATTTTCAACTTAAATTTGACTGCTTGTAGCACCTTTTAATATAGTAGTTTATGCTTGAATGTTTTATATTTATTTGCTTGCCTTTTTTTTGTAACATGAATTATGGACGCTGATAGTATTATGTATCATAAGTAATAAGTTTATAAAGGTGGTATAATGTGTCTTTAATTTTTATTATAAATTTGCAAAGAACTTAAATAATATAATCTTCTAGCGTTATTAATACATTATTAATAGTTTTGAAAATTTAAAATTAGATATGTAACTTCATTATTTATCATTTTTAATAGCTAAATCTTATTTGTAATAATGAATATATTGACAATAATTAAAACGTAATTTCTAGCTTTTATGCTTCTAAAAATGTGGAAATGAATCTAGCGCATTTGTTGATTGGAATTGGACCTGGTGCATGCTATTGCATGCTTTATCAATGTTGTATAAATGTTTGAATGTATATCGGTAGGATGTAAATGCGGGTCAAAGTGGTCGTCCTTCATATCCAGGTGGTTTGGCTACAGCAACTAGTCTTGGCAATGTAGGGAGTACCCCACATTCATCCGCAGACCTGCGTGTAGGTACAGCAGTAGCGTTAGCCTCCTCGGTAGCTAAATATTGGGTCCTCACGAATCTGTTTCCTGGACCGCTACCTCAGGTCTCAGTCTATCACCATTCCCACCACAACTCCTCACACAGGAGTAGTGGAAGTGGAGAGACATCTTCCAAAGATCCACCCTCTTCATTGAACCAAGAAATGGCGTTAACTTCCAGCTCGCACCATCAGTCAACACCTGCGCATCATCATCACCAACCTACAGTTAGCACTAGCAGTCATCATAGTTCTTTACAACCAAATCCTCAGGTTTGTTTACTTAGAGGTATGCACTCTGCAATGTTTAGTTATTGAGTGTAACTTATAGAATATCCAGGTTAGAGTTCCATTTTGGAGGAATTGTGGTAGCATAGTGTCTACATTGTATGCGATATAAGTGTGAGTAGGTAGCAAAGTTATGTATTATAATAAATATATGTAATATATTTGAAACTTTAAAATAATTTTACAATTGGCTTTTTATAAAAGTTTGTTTGCTATATCAGT